AACCCGATCAGTCCAGAAGCGGGTACCTAGGTCGACTAAGGTTTGCCGGCATTGCTGTTCTTGCCGGGTGAATGTCGTTTGTTTCTGAGCCTGCCTTGCTGCTGCTTCGCTGGGTGCTTCCCGGCGCGGCTCCCGAGCCGCGGCCGGTGTTCCTCCCTTCGTTGCGTCTCCGCGGCCCCCTCAGCCACGGGGGGACTTCCCTGCCTGCGCGGACCACTGGGCCGCAGCAGGGCCATGCCCGCCAGCGTGCGCAGCAGCGCAGCGCGCGCGGTTGACGCGGCCTTGGGTCAGCGCTGCCAGGAATGCTGTCACCCTTCCCGTGCTCAAGCCCTCTCTCAAAGGCTCTCGCCTTCGTAGCGGCATCATCTCGAGTAGCTGGTCCAGCCGTGCTTTCGGACGTGCCTTCGTGCCGGGGTCTGCCCAGTTGACAGAGCCGTCAACCTTGAGCAGCTCCCCGCGCTTCTCTCGGAAGAACTCCTGCACCCGCAGGTCCTTCACAGATAAATGGCGCACCTTGCCACTGCCCTACCTGTTGCAGATGCTCTGGGCCGTCGAAGAGTCGCTCAAAACCACCAACTTGCACGGCAGACGCGTCAACGCCTCGATGATCTGCGTCGTCTGGACACCCGTCGCCGCGCCTTTGATGATGGCATAGAACTCTGCCTCCCCAGAGCTCAGCGCAAGCAGTGACTGTTTAGTGGACGCGCTCATGTCGATCAAGTGCTCTCCAAAACGTTCAACTACACATGACATGCTCTTCCTCGTCTCTCTGTCGGCGGCCCAATCAGAATCGCAATGCTCAGTCAGATGCGTCGGCATCTTCTGGTACGCGAAGATCCAGATCTCGCTGGGATGATCAAGGAGGTAACGAACGCACCGGTGCAGACGCAACGCGTGCATCTTCGTAGGCGTCGTCATCCCCTCCGTGACCGTGCTCGTAGTGAACTTAACACTCGGGACATCCTCTGCCAGGTACTGCAGGGTGCCAGCCGCTGTCCTGAAGACCTGCGCCGGCCCCGTGCCAAGAGGTTCTATGATGTCTCGATCACCTTTCCTGGTGTCTTTCGACGAGGGCGTGGCCGTGCCCCGGGACGATCCAGGCTGTGGGCCTTGCAACTCCATCAGACTGGTGATGCGTTCCAAGTAACCCTCCCACTCGAATCCAAAACTAGTCTCCACCGGATCGTTCGCTTGAGGTGCTTCAGCTCCGCGGCTTGCCCTCCGTGCTCTGGCGATCCGATGCGAGGGGGGATCTTGACCTCAAAGTGGCGTTGCATGATCTTGTCAAGCTCGTCTAACGCTTCCTTCTCTGCCTCTGCCTGAAAATCGTCACCGTGACACCCGAGACTGATGTCCAACTCGTGATGCACGAACACCATCGGCACAACCACGATCATGACGAAACCCTCCTCCGTAAGAGCTTGATCACGTAAGTGCCAAACTGCTTGCTCGCCTCCCGGGTGCCATGCATGGCCTTTCGCAGCAACCACGCAAAACCTTCCTTTCTTACGTCTGCCGGCGGGATGACTGCTGTTTTCCCCATCGACTCCCGCGAGCCTTGCCCAAGTGCCGTCTGAGCGCTGCTCAGACGCAGCGAGGCTTGCGATTCACCTAAATACCTTTACTGGTGGTGTGGATTGCGTCGCGTCCTCTCGAACGTGCGTGTTTACCTCTGTTGCAACGAGGCGCGCGCGTACTGCTGCCGAGTCCGCGCCCGAAGGCTTCGGTTCAACCCTTGCTTCAGGGCTTCCGACCAAGGAATATCTTGCGTTGGCGATTTCTCAGCCCTTGCTTCCGGGCATCCGACCAAGGAATATCTTGCTTCACTTCGTAAGCGTCGATGTCCCTCATCTCCTTGATCTTGGCTTCGCACGCCTTCTGTGGGCCCAGCTTCACGCCGGCCTTCGTGGAGAAGTACTCCTTGCTCCAATCCACGTTGATAGGGGCCACTTCTGGATCCCCCCTTCCATGGATGAACGGAGGTAATTCGGCAACTGCTGTGCCCGCAGCTGCCGCTACGAGGCCGGGCTCGTGCAGCGTTGGCAGTCCAGCGATCGTTCTCGACCGTTTCTCGCTTGGTCCGTCGTCTTCTTCGCCCATTTCGTGGTCTGGGGCTTCCACGGGAGACCTTGGCAGCTCCTGCTGCTGCTGCATGTGCGCGTCAGGCACGTCTTCAGACGCAGGTGCGGCACGGCGTGGCTCCTGAGCCACTCCCGCTGCACCTCCGGGCCTCCCTGGATCCTCTGGTGCTCGCAGTGGTGCGGGTGGTGCTGGTGTAGGGGCCGTTGCTGGCGGCGTGTGTGCAGCAGCTCCTTGACGCTGCTCCCGGGCCTTCTCCTGGGCCTTCTCCTGCACCTCCTCCTCCGCAGCGACTAATCGCGCGAATCGCTCCCTACAGGCAGGCGTGTGCCTCGCCTCGCCTGGCGCCTTGCATCCAGGGCAGTCGGGCGTTTTGCCTAGACGAATGATGCGGTCCACGGAGATATACACATCTCGAAGCTTCGGCGGCCCTTCCGGCAACTCCCGGGCAGCCGGCGGCACCGGTTCCCAGGGGGATCCGACGAAAGCGTCTAAGAGCTGCTTGTTCCAGCATTGCTGCACCGGCCTGCGCCAGATGCTCCTGCACGTGAGCACACCTCTGGACGCACCAACAAGATGTTCGTCTACCGAGATGCCACCTGTCGTCTGCCTTCCCCACGGAGGATAGCGGCGACTTGTGGTGCACGCACTCACCAAATTCCATTATCTCGCCGTTGTTGTCCTTCCCGAACGACTGGCTGTAGGGAGTTTTACCGTCTGCTTTCACCAGAAAACGAACCAGCAACCATCCAGCATGGCGAACGAGCCACGGCTGGATTTTGTCGCTGAGAGGAAACACCTGTTTGTACACGGACTCAAGCCTGTGCTTCAAAGCCCTGTACTGTTTCTCCACCTCGTAGTTACTACGCTCGATGAGACCAGCGCTCTGTGAGGATCCCTTCGGCGTGTTACGCTTTGACGCGCTATGTTTGCTGCTGCGCGTCTCGATGAAAACGTCGACCAGACGATTGATTGGCCTCTCGCCATCAGAAAGCAGCAACATTCTCGTGCGCCCGCAGAAGCGCACAGCTTCGCTCATCAGTGCTAGAGCGTAGTCGTCTTCGCCCTTCTGGTTCACCATGCCTGGAAGCGGCCCTCCGGACTTAGCGTCCAAGACGTTCAGCACTGCGTGCATCTCCTGCTCGTCTCTTTTGGACGTCAAGAAACGATAATCAACGCTGATCCTGGGCACTGCTCCCTCAGCCTCTAGTTCCTGCAGCGCGTGGGGGTCCTCCGTGGCCTTCCCTGACGCGCAGTGGTCACGCCGCGACCTAAATGGCTGGTGTGTGAGCTGATGGGAGTCCCATTCAGCCTGCGTGACTGCAAATGGAATCTGCTTCGCCCGGCCTCCTCGCTTCCCCTGAACCTACCATCAGAATTGGCGGTCGGTTGTCTGGTCGCGCAGGCGCGGGCGCTGGCCCGCAGGACGCCCGCATGGGCGGATTCCGATCCGCGCTCCCGCTCGAACCCCCTTCCTGCACCGTGGGGTATCCTTCTGCTGCCTGCAGTTCCTGAGCCGCTGGCGGATCCGATACTGGCGGTGTGAACACCTTCTTTGCTGCTTTCGCTGGGCAGAGAGGTCGCGTTCCCCCGGCCGGCTGCTCGTTTCAGGGCTCCAGCCAGCACGCGCCTCTGTCTCTGATAATTTCTAAGCCAGGCGTCGCCTGCGCTACCTGGCGCAAGCCTTGGGCATCTCGCGACGAGATGACCTTCTGAACCCATGGGGCCGAAAACCAACCAGTTCCCTGCGTCGCAGGCGTCCGACGCAGACACCACAGGCACTGTCACCTGTTCACTGGAGCTGTGCCTCAACGCGACCCCCGCGCCGTCGGCGGCTTGCAGGTGGGACCACCTGCCGTCTCGTAGGCGGACCTCCTCTCCTGTGGCTGTCGCAGGCGCCGCAGGCTTGACAGACGCGTCTGCCGTGGCGGCAGCGTCGAAGGACGTGGGGCACACGGATGCTCCCGCTCCGGCGTCCGCCATCACCCTTTTCGGTCCCTGGAGCGCCGCCGGTGGTCTGTCTCCAACACAGGAAGCATCGGCAACATAAAGCCATGACTGACCTCGTCACGGTCCAGCAACAAGGCGGCGCGCGGAGCCGCAGTGTCGCTGCCTCCCGGTAGTTCCGGGGTTGCTGCCAGCTTCTTCTTGCCCTTGGCGTCTTTGGCGTTCTTCTTGCACTCTGCGGCGATGTGGCCTTTCTTGCCACAGTACCAACAGTCTTTCTCAGCTGCTCCTACCTTCGCCTTCCCCTTGGGCTCTGAGCCCTTTACTTTGCCTTCCCGTCTCCCCCTTTGCCTTTTCCGCCCCCCTTCTTGCCTTTTCCCGTCTCCCTTCTTGCCTTTTGGCGTTGCGCCGAGTTCCATCGGCCTCGGTTGAGAGTTCAGGTGCTGCTCTGTTCCAGCCATTTCAAGGAATACCTCCTTCATGGCCATCCACGTCTCCAGTCTGGCGGAGTTCTTTACTAAGCGCTGCTGGACGGTCGTGTCTACCATGTTGACAATCACAATGCCAATCTCAAGGTCCTCATCGAAAGGTTTCCCCGCCTGTCCTTCGCACTCGCGAACCAGATGCTCAAACTGGTCGAGAGACTGCGGGATGCCCCCAGAGAATTTTGCAGTGAGGACCTTGATTAGCAACCCCGCCTTCCTCGTCCGGATCTTCGGGTCCCAGTCGAGGATGGCTTGCCGCCGCGCCTCCAGACCCTCCCCGGGGGGAACGGTAGACATCTCGCCCTGAGCAGCATCGCGGAAGAGCATTACCATCACGTAGTACAGCTGTGACGACAGACTGGCCTCCCATGGCTCCAGGGACGCGTTCGTCACCACTGTTGCTGTGGCCTCTGCCCGCGCCAGAAGGGCTGGGTAGCGCGGGTCTAGTGCTGCTAAATACGCCTGAAGACGAACGACCACTCTGGCCATTTCGCCCGTTGTCCAAGATAGGTGTCTGGTTTGCCTATCAAACGCGTGTCGACACATGGCTGGAGTACCGATCCAGTCCCTTGCGGTGACGACGCCTGGGCGGAAGCTGAAGCAGAAGTAGGCGAGGCACGCAACTCTTTGATTGCGTTCACCAGCTCGGTGATCTGGCCCGCCTGCTGCCTGACTTGGCTTTGCAGCTCCTCAGCCGTAGACATTGCTGCTGACGAGAACGAGAAAGGTCGCGGGCGGCTTCCCGAGCCGCTCTGCGCCCCTCCTGAATCTCGCCCAGAAGCTCGAGGAGTTCTCCCGCGTCAGCGTGGCGACGCCCCGCTGGGAGATAGAGGCTCGCCTGTTCTCCAAGGTGCGGCCGACGTCCCCGAGCAGAGTGTCTGCCTTTGCGCCGTCAGGGAGCTCGCCCCGGGAGTCTCCTGGATCGACACGAGCTGCTCTACCTCGTCTCGCGCAAGCCGAACAAGCGTCGAGATGTCAGCCTGCTCCACGAGACAGAACTGGCGCACCACTTCCTGGTGCTGCTCGCTGCTGGTCTCCAGCAGCTCGCCCGAGAATTGGCCCGGCTCGCCCTCCCGGTCCAAGTGCGGGCGGCCTTCCACCACGGCGCGCCGCAGCGGCTCAGACCTGGCGGTGGCGATTCGCTCCTCCTGGAGTGGCGTGTCCTCAGCGCTGATACCCAGATCAGCGTAGCGCCTCGCCTCCAGGTTGCTCGCCGAAGCCACTGAGGTGTCCGGGTCGCGCCTCAAGATCAGCTTGGTGGCCCGGCGTCGGCGGCGAAGCTCCTGTGCCTCCACGCTCCGACGCTCTCCGCGGCGACGCTGAGACGGCTCCTGAGCCGCGCTCGCGTTCCGGCCCGTATCGCGGGCAGACGGGCGGCCCTCGCCACCGGGCTGGGCGCGGCGCTGCGGCCGCGGCCGGTGGCGCCAGGGGGCGCCGGCCAGGTGCCGAGGGTCGCCCCCAGTCCTGGAGGAGGATGCGGCTGCCGAGCCGCTTGGCGAAGGTCCTCCGGAGCCGCGGTGGCCCTTAGGAGGCATACCACAGCTCAGCTACCATGTCGGAGCGCGCGCGGATGCGCACGGGCCCTTTTCGGCGCACGGGCCAAAGAGGGCTGCAGTCCACCTCTCTCCCCTCTGTGCTACGCTGCTGATACTGCCTGCTGCTGCCTGCATCTACCTACCCACACCTAGATGACTGAACAACTGATGGGTCTAAAACTGCATACTGCAATCAGCAATTCCCTTGAACGTGCAGGATGCCTCAACAAGGTGAGAGCGCAAATGTAGAGTTCGGGACGAATGTCGGTGAATATTTGAGCCGTGATGCCGCGATTGGAGATTGAGGCCGCTAGTTTTGTGAACATGTGAGCCAGCAGAGCCCGAGTGAAGAATTCGGTCAAGATTCAAGCGGTGGGAGAGCAAGTTCATACTTAGGTGAAGATGTTGGCGAAGATTTAAGCGGTGAGAGCGCGCGTGGATATTCAGGTGGAGATTCTGGTGATAACATATTCGGCGAGTGCGCGAGTGAAGATTTCGTGGAAGATTTTGGATACTATTTAAGCACCGAGAGCGCGAGATTTCGGTGAATTGATAACCGGTCACAGCGCGAGTGAAGATTTGGGTGAAGATTTAGGCAGTGAGAACGAGAGTGAAGATTTAGCCAGATATCCAGATGAATATTTCAGCATCGAGAGCGCGAGTGAATATTTAGGTAAGAGATCCCGGGGAATACGTAAGCAGTGAGAACGCAAGTATATATTTCGAGGCAGACGCGGGTGATTCTTTTAAGCTGCGCAAGCGTGAATGAATATTGAAGTGCAGATTTCCGGTTCAAGAGAAGATTTAAGTCAAAATTTAGGGTCCCGTTGATGATGAAGATTCAACTGAAATTTACGGTTCGGGGGAAGACTTTGAAGATTTACACTTGGGGGGGAGGAAGGGATGAAGATTCAGGAAAAGATTTCGGGTCCGCGGGGGAGATTCAAGTGAAGATTTAGGGCTCGGTGGGGAACATTTGGCCCAGATTTCGGGTTCGGGGGGGGGGGAATGAAAACTTATGTGGAGATTGAATGTCTGGGGGAATGTTGGTGCAGATTGCGGGTTCGGGGTGGATGGATATTCAGGTGAAGATGCTGGGTCCGGGGGGGGATTGAGGTGAAGAGCTAGGGTTCGGGGGGAGATGGCGACGTAAGTGAAGATTTAGAGTTCAGGGCAATAATTAGGGCGGCACGTAGCACCCCGCACTTGCGGATAAGGGTGAGGGGGCGGCGGGGGCGTCTGCAGTCTGCGAGGCTCTGAAGAAAAAAAAGCCGCTGCAGGCGCACAACTTTTAAGCTGCACAACGAGTCCGCCGCAAGCGCCGATTTTTTGACAATGAAGGTGGGTCGCGGGTTGGGTCGCAAAGGGGTCAGGGGTGGGTCGATGGTGTGTCGCGGGTGGGTCGCGGGGTGGGTCGCGGGCGGGTCGCGGGGCGGGTCGCGGGTGGGTCGCGGGCGGGTCGCGGGGCGGGTCGCGGGGCAGGTCGCGGGTGGGACGACGACAACAAACAACAAACAACAAACAACAACAAGAATCCGCATCGAGGAATCTCACTTCAGCCACGCACCCAGGCACAAAGAATGACTGTTCGGTTCCGTCCCATCACTCTGACACTGAACGCGGTTTGGGTCGCGGGTGGGCCGCGGGTTCTCCGCCGGGCACGAATGCGCAACATGCCCGCCGCAAGCGCGCAAAAAATGGTTTGTACCCTGAACGTGGTCGCGGGTGGGCCGCGGGCTCTCCACTTGAAACGAATGCGAAAGATGCCCGCCGTAGGCGCCGAAAATGATGGCTTGTATCTTGAACGTGGTTTGGGTCGCGGGTTGTTCGCGAGTTGGTCGCTGGGTGGGTCGCGGGCTTTCCACCTGGAAGGAATGCAAAAAAAACCGCCGCAGGCGCCGAAAATGATGGTTTGTATCTTGAACGTGGTTTGGGTCGCAGGTGGGTCGCGGGTGGGTCGCGGGGTGGGTCGCGGGTGGGTCGTGGGCGGGTCGCGGGGTGGGTCGCGGGCGGGTCGCGGGTGGGTCGCGGGTGGGGTCGCGGGCTGGGGTCGTGGGGTGGGTCGCAGGGTGGGTCGCGGGTGGGTCGCAGGTGGGTCGCGGGTGGGTCGCGGGTTGGTCGCGAGTTGGTCGCGGGATGGGTCGCGGGGTGGGTCGCGGGCGGGTCGCGGGTGGGTCGCGGGTGGGTCGCGGGGCGGGTCGCGGGGGGTGGGTCGCGGGCGGGTCGCGGGGCGGGTTGCGGGTGGGGCGACGACAACAAACAACAACAAACAACAAACAACCTCAACAAGAATCCGCACCGCGGAATCCCACTTCAGCCACGCGCCCAGGGACAGTGAATGACCGTTCGGCCCCCTCACTCTGATGTAAGTGAAGATTAAGGATTCGGGCGAAGATTTAGGCGGACATGTAAGGCCGGGAAAAACTTAGAGTGGAGATTTCGGGTCAGGGGGGAGGTGAACATCTATGTGGAGATTTAAGGTTCGGGGGGAGACATAAGTGAATATTTCGGTGAAGACTTAGGGTCTGGGTGGAGATTCGGTAGCGATTTAGAGTCCGGTGGAAGATGTAACACAGGTGGAGTCTGGTGAAGAATTAGGGCTTGCACGAGGGGCGGGTGGGGATCCATGTGCAGATGGGAGGCTCGGGAACGGATTTTGGCGAAGATGTGAAGTCTGGTGGGGGTGCAGATTTAAGTGGGGATTTAGGATCCGGGGAGGGGATTGTGGTGAAGATTTAGGGTTCGCGGTGGGTGGAGATTTAAAGTTCGAGGGGAGATGCGAGTGAAGATTGAACAAGGATTTAGAGAACAGGGGAACATTTAAATGAAGATTTAAGTTAAATGGAGATTTAGGTTTCGGGGGTCCAAGTGAATATCGAGGTGGGCATTCACGGTTTGGGAGAATATGTAGGTGAAGTTCGATGTGAAGGTTAAAATGTTGGGTGGAGATTTAGATGTGCAGATGAAAGATGAAGAATTAGATTCCGGGGGAGTTGTAGGTGGAGATCCAGCGTGCAGGTGAAGATTGAGAAGGCGATTCAAATGACGATTTAAGCTTCGGGGAAGACTCGCATGAAAATTTGCGAACTCGGGGGGGGGGGGGGGGGATGGGATATTTCGGTGAAGATTTGAGCTCTGAGATGGTGAAGATTTCACATTCAGAGAAGATTTACGGTTCGGGGGAAGATTTTGCTGAAGAAATACGATTCGGGGAAGGCGGGAAGGATGGGCATTCCGGTGAGGATGTCGGGTCCAAGAGAGAGGTCTCAATGAAAATGTAGGGCTCGGGAGGTGCAAAGATTTGGATGCATGTTTAACGTTCAGGGGGGATCTATGTGAAAATGTAGAAAGAGAAGTTAGATCCTGGGGGGATGTAGGTTATGACTTAGGTGCGGATCTAAGGCCGGGGGGAAGTTGACGTAATGTTTAGGTGGGGATTTTCAAGCCGGGGGAAGATTAAGGTGAAGATTGACGTGGGGCCTTAGGATGCGTGACAAAATGCGGGTGAACATTTAAGTGAAGATTTGAAATCCGGAGAAGATGTTGGCGAATATTTGGGACCCGGGGGACAGTGGCAGAGGGCGCGCCGCTGGGTCTCCCCAAGGGGGGGGGGTAGGACCCCCCCTTCCCCGATCCGTCGTCGGGGGGCCCCCTCCCCCCCCCCCCCTTCCCCGGTCCGTCGTCGGGGAATCCCCCCTCCCCCCCTTTCCCCGATCCGTCGTCGGAGAACCCCCCCCCCCTTCCCCCCTTTCTAGGGGGGGGGGGGGGGGGGGGCGAACTCCCCCCCCCTCCCCCCCTTTCGCCGCGCCGCCCCCTGACTCCGGACACCGACCCCTGCCGCCCCCGCCCCTAGTCCTCACCCTGACCCAAACCCTCAATCCTAACCCCAATCACTAAGCCCAGCCCCAAACAGTACTCATTACTCATTACTCACTACCTACTACTGACTACTCG